CTTTTGATTAAACTAAGTTAAGAGATTTAGAAAAGCTACCGATGTTTTGAAAAAAAAAAAAAAAAAGGGGGATGCTCAGGGACATGTCGCAGGTTGGGTAACTGCTTCCTGACATTAAGAACCCGCAGTTCATATATATGCACAGGAACACGTATGTCTGCTATAGGTATATAAATATAATACAAACACATACGTTTGTGCAAGATATATGTTTATGTAGGTATTAGGGCAGGCAAATGTGTGTTTATAATTAAGTTGTATGAACAAAAAAAAAAAAAAAGAATGATAGATGCTCGGGGACGAGCTGCTGGCCTTGGGTGTGGGATTAAGACATGCCCAGGTAAAGGTATAAATAAGGCATACGAGCATTGTATGTTCGTGTATGCAGGTATAAGATGCTCAGAAACATGCTTCCTGACGCAAAAGAGTGAAGATTCGTGTAGGTGTATAAAATAGAAACATGAAATGGGTATGCTCAATGTAGATGCATAAAATATGAGTATGTAGAAAGAAGAGGTATATGAGTATGTAAGTTCGGATATGCGTATGAACGAAACATACATGCAAAAAAAAAAAAAAGAGGTAAACCTTTCGTGCTATACACTGTTCTCAGGCGTTTGTGTACACCTCACACTGCATTAGATTAAAGGATTTTAGAAGGGCTATCGATGTTTTGGCACTATATATAAAAAAAAAAAAAAAAAAAAGAAAGAATGCTCAGGACATGTTGCAGATTGGGTAACTGCTTCCTGACATTAAGAACCCACAATTCATATATATACAAACAGGGTATGAATAAGGACGCACAAACATGTGAGTTTGTGTAAGAGGTATGTTTATGTAGGTGATATAAATAAAACATACGAACATATTGTATATAAATAAGTTGTACAAAAAAAAAAAAAAAAAACTAAATGTACGTACGAAAAAGGAGAGAGGCTTAGGGACAAGTTGCTGGCCTTGGGTAAGTAGGCTTGCAACTCTCCCTGATGTTAGGAACGCATACGTGTACATGAATGCACATGTGATGTAGATACGTAATTTAAGGCATAAGAACACACATGCCTATGGAAGAGTATAATTAAGGCATACGAACGTTGTATGTTCATAGGTGCAGGTGTAAGAAAGATGCTCAGGAACATCTTGTGGGTCTTGGAGGGTAGGCTTGGCAACTGCTTCCTGACGTAAAAGAGTGAAGGGCTGTATTACACCTCGCATCACATTAGGTTAAACTAAAACAGAGTTATCAATATTGGAAAAAAAAAAACTAAACCTTACATGTGGTTACGCCACACTGTTCTCAGGCGGCTGTGTACACCCCACATCGCTTATGATAAAACTAAATTAGAGATTTAGAAGAGCATTTGATGTCAATGTCAAAACAAAACAAAAAAAAAAAAAAAAAAGAGATGCTCAGGATATGTTGCAGGTTGTGTAACTGCTTCCTGATATCAAGGACCTATAGATCGAAAAATAAGGTGCAGGGACATGTATGCCTGTATGGGTATATAAATGGGACACACAAACACATACGTTTGTGTAAGAGGTAATGCCACTTAACTATTGCAAAAATTTGAAAAAAAAAAAAGAATTGAATTAAACGAGCAAAAATGAGAAACGCTTAGGGACGGGTTACTGGCCTTGGGTAGGTAGCCTTGTAACTGCTTTCTAACGTTAGAAATGCGTATTTTCATATATTAAGGAAGGTATACAAATGCAGGTGTTGTACACCCATACTGATCTCAAATTAGGCTAAGTTAGATGATCTAGAAGAGATAAGGATGTTTTTGACAGGACGTCTGTAAAAAAAAAAAAAAAAAAGGGGATGCTCAGGGACAGGTTGCAGGTTGTTTAACTGCTTCCTGATATCAAGGACCCACAGATCATATGCATGTAGGATGTATAAATGGGGCACATGAACGCGTAAGTGGTATGTCATTTAGCTATTGTAAAAAAAAAAAAAAAAAAAGAAAAAGAAAAAAGAAAAGAATCGAACGTGTAAAATGAGAGACGCTCAGGGACAGGTTACTGGCCTTGGGTAGGTAGCCTTGTAACAGCTTCCTGATATTAAAGACGCATATGCTTATATATTAAGGAAGGTATACAAATGCAGGTGTATACACCCCACACTGCACTCAAATTAAGCTAAGTTAGATGATCTAAAAGAGATAAGGATGTTTTTGACAGAACGTCTGTATAAAAAAAAAAAAAAAAAAAAAGGGATACTCAGGGACAGGTTGCAGGTTGTTTAACTGCTTCCTGATATCAAGGACCCACAGATCAAATGCATGTATGGATGTATAAATGGAGCACATGAATGCGTAAGTGGTATGTCATTTAGCTATTTGTAAAAAAAAAAAAAAAAAAAGAGAAAAAGAGAAAAGAAAAGAATCGAATGTGTAAAATGAGAGACGCTCAGGGACAGGTTACTGGCCTTGGGTAGGTAGGCTTGTAACAGCTTCCTGACGTTAAAAACGCGTATGCTCATATATTAAGGAAGGTATACAAATGCAGGTATATACACCCCACACTGCACTCAAATCAGGCTAAGTTAGTGATCTAGAAGAGACAATGATGTTTTGGCACGTGAGGTAGTTGCTGTTGAAAAGTAGTTTATGAAAAAAAAAAAAAAAAAGGAAAAAAGATAGGTAATGCTTAGGGACAAGTTGCTAGCCTAGGGTAGGTAGACTTGCGACTGCTCTCTGACGTTAAAAATGCGTAGGGTCATATATGGGCATTGAGGAAGGTATACAATCCTTTCAGAGATAAGCCTCAGATCAAGATTAGGAAATGTTCTGGTGGCACCTCATAAACTCAATCCTCGGCAAAAATCCCATAATGTACTACGTTATTAAACACTGATGTATTTGTTGAATAGCACTTGAAAAGACGTGACTTTAGGTATAAGAACGGTGGTCACGACTGTTATGTGCGAGGAAGGGGCACATGACGAGCAATAATAATGATCCGCTTGTGAACGGAGTCACAAGGCAGTACATTATTGCGAGTCACTGGACTTTCCATGTGACAAATAGGTCACAGGACCTGTTCAGGATGAAATGGGTATTTGAGTAACTTGATGATCTGTTGTTTTCTTTGTCGTTTGAATTTTCTGCTTGACATTAGGTCCAGCTATCCCTCCCACCGCGCCCTGAAAAAAAAAAAAAAAAAAAAAAAGTAAAAGTAACGATGCTCGAAAAAGTCTGCTCACGTGACCTCCTGCGGCTTGTTCGGATGACCCTATCCCATAATGTACTACATCATTAGACACTGATGTATTTGTTGAATGAGCACTTAAAGGACGTGACTTTAGGTATAAGAACGGTGGTCACGACTGTTATGTGCGAGGAAGGGGCACATGACGAGCAATAATAATGCTTATTTTCCGAGGAATACGGCATTCATACATATCCCTTAATATGTAGACCAACACAGGCAAATTTGCCTGCATTTTTGCACTTTTTTAGCTCTGATTTATTTTTTTAAAATACTAAAATATTTAAATAAAACTTTGCACAATTATATTTAAAAATAAGGATTACTTTTTTGCAAAATTAGTTTTTATAA